TGTCAATGTTGCTCTGGATGGCCGTAAGCTAAAGGCGCTAACGTTCCAACTCTCACACAACCATTCATGCAACCGGTTTCTTTTCGAAAGGCACCCTCTAAACCGGCGACTTACTGAGGAGGAATGCAATCCAGCTGCTGACTTATTTCGATACAACACCCCTACGTGTGACATAAAGCAGTACATCGAGAATGCATTCGGGAAACACGTCACAAGAGACGACGTCCTTAATCTACGCCGCAGGTTGCGTTCGCCCGTGTCATGTAGGTGAAATGGCACGTTATTATTGCTAGCCAATTTGCGGCAGGCTCTGCAGAGCGTGGAACGGGATTTGTTTCGTGGAAACAATTTCTGAAAAAGGCTTACTTACGCATGTGTGCTTTTGCAAGCGCTTTTAAATAGCTTTTCAACCCTGCTCAGACACTTCGGATGGTTGTGACGCGGTACCCTGCTGCAGCTATGCATATGTGTCACATAGTACGGACAACGCACCCGCTATGCCTATGCGCTTACAAAATGAGACGACCACTTCGGCGGAGCTGCAGCCTGTCCGCAAACCTGCGTTTGAGTATGTCATAATATATTGTTACCTGCATCCTCCTCAGTGTAGATCTGGATTCCACTGCAAATGAACCCTTTGCTGGAAAGACAACCGTTTTAAGAAGCACTTTCATGATCTGCTTGCCAGACAGTAAGTTCTGTGCCATTGTCATTAAACCACTGCAGCCGATGATTACGACTTTGCCTAACTGCTTAAGGTCCAGCCTGTGAGAACGCAAACTTGGCCCTTTTTAGGGCCACCTCCTGTTTCGTTTCCGTGTGCTTCCCTCTTGCCAACCCGACGCAACTGCTCGGTTGACGGCATTGATTGGAACATTCGGTAAATGAATCGGACGGTGGCTCTGTAATCCTCGCAGGAATGGCCCAATTGCTGTTATACAGGGCCTCCAAGCCCATGCATTCCTTGTTCACAATGGTTTCCTTTAAGTACATTACTTTTACCCCACTCCTTAGTGATCCGCCGTGTTGACGTGACGCATATGACGTGTCCGGCACATTTGCGTGAGCACTTTGAATGGGTCTGAACGACAACGTTCCCGGAAATGTTATCTGTGCCAGTACGTTTCTTGACAATTCTGTTATCATTTGCATGTCACCATTTCCGCATTGTCCCAGTGCTGTTAAAGAGCTAGCTATTGATGCCTACTGATTGGCATTTTTGGTGCTCTTGCAATGAGCTTTAGGCACCCTGTCTGGACGGGTAGACGAAGACATAGGTAGGCTATTATATCACCCGTGCACTAGGTCTGTGCTGATATGTATTGAGGCTTCAAGATCTACGCCATTGCTGCTAGTGCTAAGAGAGCTTTCTAGGCTATTTTATCACCAGTGCAACAGGCCTGTAATGATATGTATTGAGGCTCCAAGACCTACCTTCTTGGTGATAGTGCTACGAGACCTACGTAGGCTACTGTATCACCAGTGCACCAGGTCTGTGCTGATATGTATAGAGGCTCCGAGACCTACGCCATTGCTGCTAGTGCTAAGAGACCTATGTAGGCTACTGTATCACCAGTGCACCGGGTCTGTGCCGATATGTATGGAGGCTCCGAGACCTACGCCATTGGTGCTAGTGCTAAGTGAGCTATCTAGACTATTTTATCACCAGTGCAACAGGCCTGTAATGATATGTATTGAGGCTCCGAGAATTACATTCTTGGTTGTAGTGCTAAGAAACCTACGTACCTTGTGAAGCCCTATTGCTCTCAAGCTTCCGAATTTTCGTTTACATCCTGGCAACTGGCTCATCACCTCATCCCAAATGCCCTCCACTAGGCTTGTGATGCCCGTGACCCATAAACGTCTAACATGCCAACATGTTCATTCCTTCATCATATGCTTTAAGTGACTGTGGACTTGCATTGTTACCATTACATTCAACATGTGGGCATAGGTTTGCTTTGCAAAACTAGTGGGGTCCTGTGGACTGCGGTGTGCACTTCCTCTACTCAGTTTAGTTGTTTTGGCATATTGAGTATATTCTTACTGATGCAGGCAATAGGTGTCCATTTATTACCCTGTGACGTTACTCTACATGAAGTCATGTGCGCTGATCACATTAATATACGGAGCACACCGGCGCATCCTCCTTGGATAGATCGTACCGGTAAATACCTGCTCACGAAGAGCTCTAAGTGATGCCAAATTTACCGGACGGCTTCATCAAACAAAACCTACGGAAGCTACCAAGCGGTTAGAAATAAATGTAAGCTACATACCAGGACGGCTCGGCTTTAATTACGGTTGAAATCGTAGAGGATATCTGTATCCTAGCAATCCATTCGATGCCCGTGCTTAGTACTGTGGTACTGTGTTGCAACCATTAGCATCATTTAATGAAAGTTGTTTACAAAACCTACTTCTCCCACATTGTATATTTATTTCATTAGCAACCACCTCAAGTTCAAGTTCAAGTGGGACTGGAACGATAGGATAAATCCCGTAAGTGTACAGCCTCAATTAGATTTACATTTACAGATAGCTCGATGTATTCCGCTCACGGCGACGGTTAATTTTCGGACTGTCAGTGCAACTAAGCCTTGAGTTCACTGAGTAGTAGAGAGCAGAAGAGAGGCCCCGTGAAATCTTCTTCACTTCGTCGTGAACCGATTTATCTAACGGTGTCTAGACAGCTGCTGTATTACTTTCATTACTTAACATTTCACTGTAACCTGATAACTTCTATAACCCTGTTAGGCATCATAATACAACTACAGAGCTTTCCAGAATATCGATCAGAACCTTCTCAATGCGAAATGGATCCCACCAGTGCAACAATCATTTTGACTGTCAATAAGATACTCACAGCTGCCAGAGATATACCAGCTTATTGCATCCTTTTCCAAAGAAGAAACAATGATATTGTGTGATTTCTACCTACCAGATAGTAACTCAACGTCCTTCTCATTTGTTGACATCGTTCATTTTTGTGCCAACGGTTACCAATAGTAATCGTCATATTGGTGCATTCAAACACACATTTTCAGGTTAAGCTGACTAGAAAATACCCATCTCCACGCAATTCTAAGCACGTCCATGCAGCCAATCGGATAGCTTCGCCATCTTGAATTCACACCGTTTGCCTTGCCACTAGTGGCCAGCATAAGAAAGCTAGCCTTTCGGTCCAACTATATTCCTCTGTCTACACGACCGAAGCGCCACCCCAGATAACGTTGCGCCCACTCCTCCTTCCCTGTTGGAGCACGTGAAGGTTAACACTGATGTTTTAGTGTAACTGCTTCTTGACTTAGACCCGTATTCCTCGTCTAGTCCTGGTGGTTTGCACCCATAGTTCCTTAAGACCGTGGCTACTCACATTGCCGCTCCTGTCTGTCGGGCAGCTTCCAACTGCTTGGAAGGTGGAAACCGTTAAATCTATTTTCAAAGGAGGGAACCGACAGCATCCAGCCAGTCCTCGTACCACCAGACTGACTTCAATTTTGTGCAAAGTCATGGAATGGATTCTGGTACGGGCCCTTAGCCTTCATCTCGAAGCGTTGGGGTTCCTCTCTCGTGCCCAACATTGTTTCCGAAGGGAGCGTTCATGCGCCACAAAGTTGCTGGTGGCTAGGGAAAAATGGGCAAGATGCTTAGATGCCCGTAAACGTCTGGATGCTGTGTTTGTTGATTTCCGTAAGGTTTTTGACAAGGTGCCGCTTGAGCGGTTCCTCTTTAAACTCCGGAGAATCGGCGTAACTGGCAATGATCTTCCTTGTGTCTTCGATTTCCTGGACGGTCGCTTCATGCAGGTTAAAGTGAACGAAGAGCTTTCTGCCCAAGTTCTCATGACCATTGGGATCCCCTAGGGTTCTGTACTCGGCCCCGAACACTTCAATACCTTTATCAACGACCTGCCATCCGAACTGCAGACCGACTGCTTAATCTACGCGGATGATCTGAAGCTGTGGATTGAGGCATACAGTCTGGAATGTGCAGACAGATTTCAAGCGACACTCGATCTGCTCCACGATTGGTCACTAAAGTGGCAGTTGCCCATTAACCGTGGCGAATGCACTGTCCTTTCAACCGGTGCTCCTGAGCCATTTGGAGCTTATTATATCGGGGGTTTCTTGATCAGAAATGTCAACCAAGCGAGGCAACTCGGGCTGATTGTGTTTCCTGATCTCAAATCAATCGAAGGCACCCGGAAGAGGGTCGCAGCCGCCTACAGAATGCTTCACGCTATACGGAGAGCATTTTCACGCCTGACCCCAGAACTCTTCAGACTACCGGTTGCTTCGCATGTGCGCCCAGTTCTCGAGTACAGGTTGCCTGCTGCGCATCTTCTCACAAACTACGAAAGTGACATGATCGAGAAGGCTAGACAGCGTGGATCCAAATCCGTTCCAGAGTCGCGGGAAATATCTTACTCCCTACGGCTTCAACGGTTGAACCTGTTCCCTTTGGATTATAGTCCTCGCCGCGGAAATATGATATTCATTCGGCGTATTCTCGGAGGTGAGCTGGGAGTGAACTGCAATCGTTCTTTCGTCTCAAAACAAAGTGTGCTACTCGAGGCCACTGGTGGAATGTTTTCAAACCGCGGCGACTCCGTGTGCGGTCCGGTTTGGCCCTATCTACAAGGGCAGTGATTGACTGGAACAACTTGCCGGAGGCTGTCATCGATGCGGAGACAGAGGCAAGTTTCAAACTGTTGGATTCCCACTCCCTGAGTGCGCAGGAATTCTGCTGCCCAAAATACAATCATGGTGGTCTTCTGCGGAAACTTGTTCCTCAATGATCTCAGCAATCCGCCTTATTCGGGAAGTGAAGGAGCAGACAAAGGAACTTCCTTGTGCTCTCTACCAACCAATGAACTTAAACATTTAATGTTGCGACGTCATACCGTTTTACATAATTTTTGTCGTACAACTAACATTAACTATTTATTTGAAATGGTCCTGGAGAATTATTTTTAACTGCACTAGTTTCGCGTGTGACATCGGACTACCTTGTTTTGTTTAAGTGCGCGCTTTGGTCGTCGCACCGTTCTCTCCCGCTTATTTGCTTCCGCCATTTTTCTCTTCAATTACGAGTTACTGCGATATTTTTCTAACACAAATTTTCCTGAAATGGCGCTCTAAATATGATAACTCTGTACTGGAACACATTCATTCCTCTTGGTCCTCAAAATAAGTCGTGTGATGGAAGATTCGCTCGATCGTTCCGATATGAACGTTCAGCGCCAATTCCGAGTTGGAAAACGAGGTTTGCTTTCCTTTGGTATTTAAACTGAACTCGTCTAGATGCGGTATTGTTTGGCGGCCGAGTTGTGGCTCCCCAGCGACACTCCAGGAGGCCACCAACCAGAGTCGCAGGAGGCCGCCGGACCCCGGGTCTTTGTGGCAAGTCTGAGCGCTTTCAAGGTCACCTGGATACGTTCAATGATCAGTTGAAGCTTGCTAGATTCAATGGAGATGGTATAGATTCCTTAGATGAACGCATTGATGGTGCACTCCTGGTTTCGTGAGTTGGTCGGCTTCTTACATTCAGCACAACCAGTTCACAGTTGCAGGTGTTACCCGGAACCTTGTTGACAGACGATATTCCGGAATGGGACCGTGTCGCTCAGGTTGTCTGTGTCGTTGAAGGGGACATCAGCTGTCCAATTTGTCTCTACCCTCCGATTGCTCCACGCATTAGCCGCTGTGGTCATATTTACTGTGCGCCTTGCGCGCTTCAATACATCGACTACGAAAATGAAGGCACTGCGAAGAAGTGTGCCGTGTGTTGTTCTCTAGTCAATCTTGAAGAACTCAAGAGGTGCTAGCATTTTCTTATAACTTATTGCAGGGCTATACTATCTCAAGTCCCACCTTTGCGGGTTGGCGACGAACTTGAAATGGTCCTTGTGAGGTGCAGAAAGTCGGTAATCGGTGGAAGCGTATGCAATGACTTTTCCACTGCACGAGGGGCAAATCCTAATCATTACTTTCAGTTTGTCGCTGAAGCCACCTCAGCCGATATTGCCTTACATGCTACAAAGGAGTTAGAGTCTCTGCTTCTCTTCAAATCCCAGTGCTTGCTTGATGATAGTGTAGAGCTGGTTCCATACATCAACCAGGTCATCGAGCAAGTGGAGATGAGAGAACGGTTGCTAGGTAAGCGTAGCAACTAGACACATTGTTTACTAGATGAGCCACTTAGCTCAAAACTTGCAGCCACTCCAAGCGAAGATCCCTCCGAAGTTAATTGCTTTTATCAAGGTGAGTATCATGCTGCCTATTAAATTTTCTCAGCTGCTGATGGACGGTTGATTTTCCTTGATGGGCTCATGTGGAACTGTCTGCTTGCCGAATATGGCACGCTGTCTAACCTTCCCAACCCGCTGCTCGTGAAAGTGACCTCGATAAAGTCTCACAAGATGTGTTCAGTGAGTTCGCTTTTACTCTCTCTTGCTACGCTGTGCGCCTCTGTTTTAAGTACCAATATTAGCAAGAGAAAGGCACGATAAAACTATCATTCTTGTAGCACTCTAGCACTGGATCTGACGCGGAAGTATATACTTTTTCCGTTATTTTTAAATTGCGGTTTCGCGTTCCTCGTATATTATAGCTGTTCTTCTGGTGGACTGTTCGTCGCATTGGTCACCGGTGGCCGTGTTCGTTTCTCTGATTAATGTGCTACACGGCTGCTACGCTTGCGCGCTCCCCGATTGATTGTGTTTTGATTTCGTTATGATATTGTTAAAGGCCATAGGTGAATTTTCACTACGACCACCAAGCGGCTCACTCACTTTCCCGCACAAGGGAACACCTTGCAGACTTGTTGCAAGACCTGATACTGCTTACTGTGTGACTAACTGAATTCGCTAGAGGAGCTCTTGTCATAGAAGAATAACTAGTCGTCCTGCTACGAGAACTGAAGAGAAAACGTACGTGTAAGATTGCATGAACTAATGCATCTTTCGCGCCACCGACAACAGTTCGCGCGGCTTTCCTCTTGAGCAATATCGTGCACCAATTTCAACAGTAACCGATAGACCGCTGCCGACTGGCCGGATTGTGCGCTTTTGACCCTCCCACAGTAAAACTACAGGCGCAAAATGGATCCCCCAAACACTAGGCGTAGGTTTATGGATGCAAGTTTACGACTCAAAGCCATGAGAAGCTAATTATCAAAAGCGAGAGTTGCACTTATCACCAAGATAAGTTCACTGCATAACAAAGTTACTCTGGAAATTATTTTGAGGTAACCGGAATTTCTCACTGAGACAATCAGGTGCACACAAACCGGTCATTTCTACGCACGTATTTAGGTCACTCGTACTGTGTGGATTGTTTCCATAGTTGCTGGCCGCGTGACCATTACAACGAAACTAGACTTTATCGTGGTGCGATGGTTCGCGTACCCCCGTGACGAATTGAACTATGCTCTATGGCAGTTCCCAAATACCACTCATATCACAGGTAATGGTTAGTGGTCAGACTAACAGTGTCAATCCAATTCTCTTCGGAGGTTAGGGAGAAGTTGGTAGGCCCCTTTAAAATCTACAAGTTATAAGCTCACAGCTCGATTGGCGTAAAGCACAAGCGTGGCGCATTGTCTCACGTTGGGAGAGCACCTGGTGCTCAATGGTTTCCTCCCGCCCGCCTCAAACCAGGCGGTTACCCGTGTTCGCAGGTGTTTGCACGTAATACGGTCGTTAAGCACGTGAATTGTTCCAAATCCTCAAAGGCTGTGTGTACAGGCCTCCAGTAGATCCCAATGTGTCTGCAATCACACTCCCTAGCTGGACTTGTTCCCCACTGCCTTGTGGGTCAGGCTATTGTGCCAAAGGCTTCTGGTGGAGTCCCTCAAGCGAACCTCCAACTTCCCCACTGCCTTGTGGTTCAGACTTTAGTCAGAGGCTAGAGGTACGGCAGCTCGAATAAAACCCCTCGGAATCGGCAGTCGGAGATTATCGTCTGCCCTCTCAGCCGCGTCGACAATTCTCCCTTTTCTTCTTTTTCGCTCCCCTCTTAACTCTTCCTCGTCTATTCAGCAAAAATCTGTCACTGACCTCGCTGCTACTGCCATCGATACTTTTCCATCAAAGCACGTGTCTTTTCACATTGGTTCTTATAACCGGTCAACAGACATCAGTCATTTGAACTGATGCTTCGCTGCCATACAGCCATGATGACCTGTTGTATACATAATAAAGGGAGAGAAGGGGGACTTATCTGAAAAACTTAGCACCCTAAGCAAACATTCAGAGTCAAGGCGCCTGCAACTAGTGTAGACAACATACGTCACAAACGGCTGGCTATCGCGCAAAGATAACGCGGCGTCGACGAGACAACTTCCTTGCGGTATTCACTGCCACGCGTCATAATTAGCCATTACCCAGCAAATAAATCAACACCAATCACACTTTAAACAGGCAATCCGACTAGGAGACGGCAGCAGACACGCCACTGGTGTCGGTTGCGCGTCATGTCCTGTTAAGTCTTGAGCCAAACACAAGGCAGGTGACGTAGACTCCAGCCCGGTAGGCGAGACGAACCAGCGGCACCCAGTTTGATCGTCAGTGACTTTATTTGCCGCTGCCAAGTCAACTGTCCATCTCGAGCTTTGCGCCACCCTACACCTGGCAGATTAAACAAAGCCCTCTAAGTAAGCCGTGACCAGGCATACGTAGCACGTGCCAAAGCCAACGCAACTTTGTCAGTGCTATCTGTTGTTCTAGGGAGCTAACATGATTGTCACTACCTAGGACTCACGTGCGTACATGATCCTTGCGGACTCGCTGCTGCCACCCGACACCAGCAATGCTTCGCAGACAGCGGTGATCAAAGACTGGAATGCGTCTCAGCTCTTCAGACCGAAAGGGCCAAGTTTCACTACCATAGAGCAGGATGGTCCTCACTGTGGCCTTGTATACACGGCCTTTGAGACAGAAAAACTCCTTTCTGTCACCAAAGATGCTGCTGTTTCAAGAAGGCAGTTCAGGCTTTTGCAATGCGTGGACGCTTCATTTTCTGTCTCCATCGTTGCTGATGCAGCTGTCAAGGTAACTGAATCGATCAACCAGCTCGAGTACCTCGTTATCAATGATTAAGGGCACATCAAGTGGCTGGTGCTCCTGCAGTAACACTGCACTTTGAAGGTTCAAAGCGCATGCCAAATAATGGGACCACTCTAGACAAGCTATTCAACGTTGCTTGGGCCGCTGCAACATCAAAAAGCAAGACTATCGTCCGCATAATCTAGCTCAACTAACTATTCACCAGGCAGGACCTCAACGCCCACATCGTGAGATTCCGCAAAAGACCATTCCATGATGCAGTGCAGGACGAAATTGAACAAAAATGGGGAAATCGGACAGCCCCAACGAACACAGCTATTGTAGGTATGCGTGGCGCTGCTCTTGCACCTGCCTGTAAAGTAATTATATGGTCTATACAGCCACGTCTTTGGCGGAAATCTGCCTGCTCTTCCCCAATCCAAAATTCCTGTTCCACAGTGAGGCGACGAATGATAATGGAGGCCAGTAATTTTGCCACAACTGGCGTTAGACTAATACCCCTGTGGTTAGCACAGTCTGTGCGACTGCCCTTATTATATGTTGCCACTATAATCGATTCACTTCAGTTAGTTGGGACACTTCATTCCAGATATGTTAGAATAGGGAGGTCAGTGCTTTGCAGAGAGGACCAGCGGCACAAAAACGATGGAGGGTTGTGATCGCGTTTTGAACCTTGACCTCCGACGGAGGCTCCAGACTAACCGTTTATGGCTCGTCCTCCATCACCTGAGTAGGGAGAGGTTCGGGAGCAGGTGCCCAGCTGAACTGATCTTGGAAATGTTCCGCCCAACGAACCATCCAGCGCTCCTTACTGGGTATCACTGCACCCGCCCTGTCTCTGGTTGTCTCGCTGATGCTTGGTTTCCTGAAACCAACTGTAAGAACTTGCGGTAATTTCCTACTGGCTCCTGCTTCCTCCATTTCTTGAGCCCTACTGGTCCACAAGACTTCCTTGTCAGCACGCAGGCTCCGCTTTACTTCGCGCCTAATAGTTCATCAAGTCACACTGTGCTCAGAGCCAACCGGGAGATTTCTTCTGGATTCCAGCAGGTTTACCGACCTCTCGGATATCCAGTAATTGGTGCGGAGACTCATCTGATATGCCACAATCTATGCACCTTCGTCGTGCATTGCGGCAGAGATCCTATTTCACTGAGAAGCTCAAGTGTCATAGACAACCAGCAAAAGTTTCGGTACGCAGTGTCTTGATAGGCTGCCTGAATCGTACGAGGTCTGTATACATTCAATTGGTATTTCCAGTCGGGGAGACGCTTGTTGCGCCTCTCGCGAAAGACCAATACCACCGGAGAAACTACACGTACCAAGGCTCATCGAATATCATGACTGTCGAGGCAGGTGCTCCATGACAAGCAGCAATCCAGGGTGGAACTACGCCACTTGAAACTTATAGCAATGTGATCAATATGAGTCCATCGCTGGCCAGCTACAGGTGGACACCAAGTGACACTTCGGCGCCCACTGGGCCTAAAAGTAGGGCTACAAAGAAACAACTGGTGCTCCACACACAGTTGCGACAAACGCTCACCGTTGTCATTCCGCCCAGCTGAGCTACTGAAGAGATCATACACTTTACTTGTGCGTTCATATCCCCTGCAAGTACTATAATATCTGAACTGGTAGCACTGCGTAGTAGCGCGTTCAGTTCGTAATAGAATGTGTCCTTGACAGCATTTGAACTACAGTCGGTGGAAGCATAAGCGGAGATCACAAACAGCGTTTTGTACTACTTCGCGAATAAACCTTAGCTGATGTTGTCAAACGCGATACACACAAACGGTTGTTCATCGGAACCCAATCGACTGAAGATGGCTCAGCCTTGGATCTTAGAATGATACCCTACCTCAGCTTTACCCTTGAGTGCTGCATCGGCGTCTCCGGATGCGTGCAACCAATAGAAAGAGGGCAAGCCGGGCGCAGTTAATTCGATAACCCCATTTGGGTCATTGCCTTTGTCTTAGAGTGCAGCGTTGAACGCCGCTGGGGAAACGGAACAGCGTGACCTTGCAAGGGACTGTTGCTAGCTCCCTAGAACAACAGATAACACTGAATAAGTTGTGTTGGCTCGGTCACGTGCTACGTATGCCTGGTCACCGCTTACCTAGCAGGACCTTGTTCAGTCTACCAGGTGTAGGGTGGCGCAAGGCTGGAGGTGGACAGAAGTTGACTTGGCAGCGAGAAATGAACTCACTGACGACCAAACTGGGTGCTGTTGATCCGTCTCGCCTTCCGGGCTGGAGTTCACGTGGCTCGCCTTGTGTTTGGCTCGAGACTTAACAGGACATGACTCGCAGCCGACACCAGTGGCGTGTCTCTGCCGTCTCCTAGTCTGATTGCCTGCTTAA